GAGACGGAGTTTCGCTCTTGTTACCCAGGCTGGAGTGCAATGGCCCGATCTCAGCTCACCGCAACCTCCGCCTCCTGGGTTCAGAAAATTCTCCTGCCTCAGCCTCCTGAGTAACTGGGATTACAGGCATGTGCCACCATGCCCAGCTCATTTTTTGTATTTTTAGTAGAGACGGGGTTTCACCATGTTGACCAGGATGGTCTTGATCTCTTGATCTCGTGATCCACCCGCCTCGGCCTCCCAAAGTGCTGGGATTACAGGCTTGAGCCACCGCGCCCGGCAGATCTAAAACTTTCAACTGACGTGATACTTAATGGAAACGGTTTGGCCAAAAATAGAAAGAAATTTGCTTTAGAGATCTAAAAACAGGACAGGCATGGTGGCTTTGGGAAGCCGAGGCAGGCGGATTGCTTGAAGTCAGGAGTTCGAGGCCAGTCTGGCCAACATGGTGAAACCCTGTCTCTACTAAAAATATAAAAATTAGTGTTTGCAGCCGCCGCCAGGCCGCTGTTGCTCTCCAACGCCAGTGCTGCCTCCTGCTCACCGAGCTCCAGCCAAAGGAGAAGTGGGATAAGTAAGGAAGTCTCTATACATGGCTCGTATAAAGTGCACTGCCCACAAATCGACCAGTGGTAAAACACCCAGGAAGAAACTGGCTACAAAAGCCACTGGCAAGAGTGCACCCTCTATTGGAGGGGTAAAGAAGCCTCACTGTTACAGTCCTGGTACTGTGGCACTCTGTGAAATTAGATGTTATCAGAAGTCCACTGAACTTCTGATTTGCAAACGTCCCTTCTAGTGTCTGGTATGAGAAATTGCTCTGGACTTTAAAACAGATCTGCGCTTCCAGAGCGCAGCTATCAGTGCTTTGCAGGAGGCAAGTGAGGCCTATCTGATTGGCCTTTTTGAAGACACCAACCTGTGTGCTATCCATGCCAAACATGTAACAATTGTGTCAAAAGACATAGAGCTAGCACACCACATATGTGGAGAACGTGCTTAAGAATCCACTATGATGGGAAACATTTCATTCTCAAAAAAAAAAAAAATCTCTTCTTCCTGTTATTGGTAGTTCTGAATGTTAGATATTTTTTTCCATGGGGTCAAAAGGTACCTAAGTATATGATTGTCAGTGGAAAAATAGGGGACAGAAATCAGGTATTGGTAGTTTCTCCATTTTCATTTGTGTGTGAATTTTTAATATAAATGAGGAGACATAAAGCATTAATGCAAGTTAAAATGTTTCAGTGAACAAGCATTGTAATAATACTGTTTTTTTTCTTTAGATGGAGTTCCCTTCTGTCACCCAGGCTGGAGTGCAGTGGCACGATCTCGGCTCACAGCAACCCCCACCCCCCAGGTTCAAGTGATGCCTCGGCCTCCCGAATAGCTGGGATTATAGGTGCCTGCTACCAACCCTGGCTAACTTTTGTATTTTTAGTAGAGATAGGGTTTCACCATGTTGGCAGGCTGGTCTTGAACTCCTGACCTTAAGTGATCTACCCACCTCAGCCTCCCAAAGTGCTGAGATTACAGGTATGAGCCACCACACCCGGCTGCACTGAAATACCTTCTAAAGGGCTGGGCTTGATGGCTCACGCCTGAAATCCCAGCAGTTTGGGAGGCTGAGGCAGGGGGATCACAAGGTCAAGAGATTGAGACCATCCTGGTCAACATGGTGAAACCCCGTCTTTACTAAAAATACAAAAATTAGCTGGGTGTGGTGGCATGCACCTGTAGTCCCAGCTACTTGGGAGGCTGAGGCAGGAGAATCACTTGAATCCAGGAGGCAGAGGTTGCAATGAGCCAAGATCGTGCCACTGCAATCCAGCCTGGTGACTGAGTGAGAAAATGTCAAAAAAAAAAAAAAAAAAAAAAAAATCTTCTAAAGAAGATATTGGTATGCTATACTGTGTTTTCTTCTTGGTATCCTTTCACCATGCTAGATAAACTTAATGTTAGGTGAAAATCTATTATGTCCTGTGAGTTGAACCGTCTGAATTTCAGACAATTAGTGGCTATATACTTTTAATTTTGTTGTTGTTTGGTTGTTTTTGTTTTTTAAGAGACAAGGTCTCACTCTGTTGCCCAGGTTGAAATTCAGTGGCACTAACATTGCTCACTGCAACCTTGCATTCTGGGCTAAAGTAAGCCTCCCATCTCAACCTCCCAGGTAGCTAAGACTACCGGTATGCAACACCACATCTAGCTAATTTTTTTAATTTTTGTTTTTGTTGTTGTGGGTTAACAATTTTTTTTTTTTTTAGAGACAGGATCTTGCTCTGCTGTCCAGGCTGGTGTGCAGTGGTGTGATCATATCTCTGTGAGTTCAAGTTAAGCCTAAAACTCCTGGGCTCAAGTGATCTTCCTGACTCAGTAGCTGGGACTACAGGCATACCACTATGCCTGGCTAATTTTTAAAATTTATTTGTGGATACATGATCTCACTCTGTTGCCCCTGCTGATCTGAAACTCCTTGCCTCAAATAGTCCTTCTACCTCAGCCTCCCAAAGTGTTGGGATTACAGGTGTGAGCCACTGCACCCAGCCTTAACTCCTTTTTTAACTGTGGTAAAATTTGTCATCTTAACCATTTTTCTTTCCTTTTTTTTTCTTTTTTTACACTGTTTACCAACTGAAAAACCATTTTTGAAGTATACAGTTCAGTGGCATTAAGTACATTAACACTGCTGTGCAGTCATTACCACTATCCTCTCGCAAATATTTTCATCTTCCCAAACTGAAACTCTGTACTCATAAATGTTACCATGTTACTTTTTATAATAAATATATATATATAAACTTTTTTTTCCACTGCAACAGTCTACCCAAATGATATATATAAACTTTTAAAGCTAAAAGCCACTTAAGAGAATCAAAACTCACCTATAATCACTTTTTTGTTATGTGACTTTTTAGTCTCTGCTCTAATTCTTACACATTTTGGTTTATTATTATTTTATTTTATTTCTGAGACAGAGTCTTGCTCTATCGCCCAGGCTGGAGTGCAGTGGCATGATCTCGGCTCACTGCAACCTCTGCCTCCTGGGTTCAAGCAATTCTCCTGCCTCAGCCTTCCAAGTAACTAGGATTATAGGCACACACCACCATACCTGGCTAATTTTTTTGTTTTCAGTAGAGATGGGGGTTCTACCATGTTGACCAGTCTGGTCTCGAACTCCTGACCTCAGGTGATCCACTCACCATGGCCTCCCAAAGTGCTGGTATTACTGGCGTGTGCCACCATGCCTGGCCAATTTTTAAGTTCTATAACTTCTACTAATATGTAATTTGGCTAAAGCTGGAAGGATAATCCTGCATGCTGTTTAGACTAATATATATATATTTTAAAAGAGACTAATATATATGGAGTCAGATGCTTCATTTATAAGAAAACCATAATGATTTCTGAACATCTGCATTAGCTTAATGTTTCATCAAGTCAAATGATGAACATTTAATAAGTTCTTGGCATGGTTCTAGTATTTTACATGTAGTATTAACTTTTTTACTCTTTATAATAGCTCTATAAAGTAGGTTCTATAATTATCCCCATTTTGAAGATGAGTAAACAACTTTTGATATTTTAGGTAATTTCCCAATATCATCTCACTAATAAATGATGAAGCAGGTTTCAAACCTGGACAACCTGGCTCCAAAGTCCATGCTCATAATCACTATGGTTTTATTATCCTCAAATATATGAGTTGCAAAAGAACAAGTACTTACTCTTTTAGAAAAATGCCCCCAAAAAGAAAGCTATATATAAGTCTGCATTTAGTGATTTCCAGAAGCCTAGAGTTATTTATCTCACAAAAAGCAAAGATCAACTACTTGATTTTTGTCTGTGAAACTTATTCTTAAGACTGATTATTAAGGCATTAAGAAACTTAATAGGTAATATTACCTTTGAATAACTTGTTGATGGATATTTTTCCAGTTTTCCTTGTCTGAATCCGTTCCTAATTTAGGGTCCAGGGTCTTCAGAGCAACACCAGCAACATTCACCCCACTCCATAAGGGCACTAAAAAATATAGATCTCAAAATAAACTCTTCTTCCCAATATTGCAACAGGAGTTTGAGCTCAGTGTTGTTTTTTTAAGTTAGGCTGCCACCTGATATGGTTCAGATGTTTGGCCCTTTCAAATCTCATGTTGAAATTGTAACCCCTAGGGTTGGAAGTGGGAAGTATGTGATCATGGGCGCAGATCCCTCATGAATAGCTTAGCATCATCCCCCTGTTTATGAGGGAGTTTTCACTCTGAGTTCATATAAGATCTGGTTGTTTAAAATTGTATGGCACCTCCTCTCTCTTGTTACCGCCCTCACCATGTGACACATCTACTCCTCCTTTGCCTTCTGCTATGATTGTAAAACTTCCTGAGGCCCTCATCAAGAGCATATGTTGGAGCTATGCCTGTACAACCTGCAGAGGCACAAGCTAAATTAAACTTCTTTTCTTGGTCGGGTGCAGTGAGTCATGCCTGTAATCCCAGCACTTTGGGAGGCTGAGGCGGGTGGATCATGAGATCAAGAGATAGAGACCATCCTGGCCAATATGGTGAAACCCCATCTCTACTAAAACTACAAAAAAAAATTAGCTGGGCATGGTGGCGCATGCCTGTAGTCCCACCTACCCAGGAGGCTGAAGCAGAAGAATCACTTGAACCCAGGAGGCAGAGGTTGCAGTGAGCTGAGATCGAGCCACTGCACTCCAGCCTGGCGACAGAGCGAGACTCCAAAAAAA